CCAGATTGTCATAGCAAAGTCAGAATTACCTCCTCTCCTAGGTTCACGAAACGGTCGTCCATAAAATGCATTGCTGTTCTGTTGTAAGTGATCTTAAAGATTCCTAAATGCATCTACTTTCGGAAGGCCAAATAAAGTGCTTTTGCTTTCGCCTAGAAACACACAGCGTCTCCCTGACATGCTGCTTCAACACTAACTGCGGTTACTGAAACCACGCCTTCTTTCTTTGCGTGCACATTTGGGTGCATTATGCAAATATTCCCACATAGTGACCTAGATATGTGGGGGCGTGTTAGAACGAGCCGTTTTAGGGGGGCGTGGCAGAGTCTTAACTTTGATAAAGAATATCTCTTCGGTTTTGAGACTTTAGTCTTTGCAACTTCAGGGATCTTATCTATGCACGAACAGCTTGTAACACTCCAAAGAGAAAGGAAAACTTGAAATCGCATCATATGACCCCTCAGACCTTAACCTACAGAAAAATATCCACACTTTGATGTTTTGTATTTTTCTCTTTTACCTCAAAACTTCACCAAAAAGGCATGAGAATGCAGTTAATATAATCAAAATATAACAGGAACATCTGACACAGATTTTATTAAGCAATCTATAGTCTTCCGTTTAAAGATACAGTACACGACAAAAGTAATTATCCTATGGGTGGTGCTCAGTGCAAAAAAGTTTAGTAATGTTTTAAGACCTCCACACTTTTGAAAAAAAAAGGAATGTTGCAAAATGCTTCGATTTTGGAATGTTTTTTTCTCTCTTTAATGTTTAATATTTATTGTTATTTGAGGGTGTATTTATATAGAGAGAGATGGAAAGAGAGATTTTAATAGTAATAATAATAATATAACGTAACAAAAGTGCTAATATATATGCGTGTTAACATTAGAGGTTTAACGGAAAGAAAATATGAAGATGGGGTGTGTGGGGGCACCATAACAACCCCTACCATCACATTATGTTTTAACCTTTATACAGTCTATGGTTTTAATTAGTTATTGGCGCCCCTTGCCGGGCCGATAAGCTATTGCTGCCAATGCAACAATCCTGTAACTTCCTGTTTGGGATCTCTGTGTTGTCAATATCGTGCAATTCACAAGATTTCGCAAAACCGAATGGTCTCAAAATGACAACATAAGCTAAGTGCTTACAACCTTGACACAGATAAGGTATGTAAGTAACGCTGGCTACAGTTGATATATTCTGTCATCTATAAGTTACTGAGGATGCATAAACTGCCATGATTTTTACCTTCCTGTTGTAATGGACATGCACCTGTCACTGCGGAAGACAGGCAGCTGCAGTCATTCATTTCAAAATGTTTCTCTTCTGACTGTATCATAGTCGTATTCCAGTTTTTTGCAGATAACAAGCTATTGTCAAGTACTCTAACGTTACAGGCTTATTTCTTATGTGCTGTCATTGCTAGCTAGCGTGCTATCCGGCATTACCTGCATCAACACACAAGTGTTCAACAACAACAACATGCATTCTCAAAATATATATGTTGCTTTAGTAACGTTTTTAACATTTTGAACTTCACTAATAAAAAAGGAGAAAAAAAAATACCACGGTATTACCAGTATTGTTTTTTATGTTTTTGTTTTTTTGTTTGTTTGTTTTTACATAAACGGTACGTTACTCCCATTTTTTATTTTTACCATAGTATCTGCCATAGTAATTACTACTTACTTACTCAAACTATTAATATGATGGCATTTTGTGAAGTACCTTGCAGTGCTGCTATGTTGATAATAGTAATTAAAGGGGTCATATGATGTTGCTAAAAAGAACATTATTTTGTGTATTTGGTGTAATGAAATGTGTTTATGCGGTTTAAGGTTCAAAAAACACATTATTTTCCACATACTGTACATTATTGTTTCTCCTCTATGCCCCGCCTTTCTGAAACGCGTCGATTTTTACAAAGCTCATCGGTCTGAAAAGCGAGGTGTGCTCTGATTGGCCAGCTATCCAGTGCGTTGTGATTGGTCGAATACCTCAAGCGTGTAACGTAAATGTTACCATATTGTGATGCCCTGTCCTGCCAGAGCTACGAGACAAAAACATTAAAACCCCATTATAAAGGAGGCATTTGTTGCATCCAGTGGGGACATAATTACGGATTATAATGACATATACTGTCTTTTTACGCATTGCATCTGCATCGTGCCATGTAAACATAAAACCATGTCCGTATTTGTGATCGGAGAAATGACAAACAACAAGCGCTACAACTTTTATAAAGAATAGTTCTTTGGATTTGAGACTTTAGTCTTTGCAACTTTACAGATCTTCTTTATGCACCAAGAGCTTGTAACACTCCAAAGAGAAAGGAAAAATTGAAATCGCATCATATGACCCCTTTAAATATAGTAATCATTCAGTACCATGGCATTATAATCTCATACTGTAACATGCTTAAACATGGTACCACCACAGTAGTGTTTTGTAAGGGTAGTCTGTGATTTATTTGGAGCTTTTTGATGTATTGCTGAGATCATGGGTTTCAGTTATAGCTTAGAAGGCAACAAAATAGCAGTTGTCAACAGGTCAGCACTGTTTTGGCAACATGAGGAACATTAATGAGAATCAGCTGACTGCAGATCTGCTATCAAAGCAGAGAAAAGAGTAGGCAGGAAATTCTGCTTCATTTGAGAGCAATTCACTTTGTGTCCTTGTATACTTCTAAACACTTTTTGTAGCCATAAACTGATGCTGAGGTGTTTGTTTATCTGCAGATCTCTGTGTTTTGTCTCTTGCAGCAGGGTGCATCATGCCGAGCTCCCTCCTGTGGGCTGTTGATGTGTACGGGAGGGTTTATAGCCTTTCGACAGCGGGACAGCAGTGGGAGCATTGTCGCGATGCCCACTTGGAGTTCAAGCGTGTTACAGCTATACAGCAGTGCTGCTGGAGCATTGCCTGTGACCACCAAATCTATCTGTACGTCCATGCCAGTGATGTGCCCATCCGCTACCAAGAGGAGACATATGAAAACCAGGTGTGCTCAATAGTAATATACAGACTGTTATAAGTATTTGGAAAAAATCCAGCAAATCATTGTTATGGGGTTCAACCAACAAGCAGAAAAAATATATACAGGAAATTATATCAAAGAGAGGGCCCATGCAGACCATCATTACTGTGTGTTTGGGCTAATGAGTCTTTTAAATATCTGATAATTTGGCCTTTTCAGTTCAGGTTTTACAGTGTCATGTGGTGTTACTCCATAAAAACACAATAATATTAATTAATTAATAATTAATGATATATCTATATGCTATTACTCAAAAGTTTGAAGTTTGGCATGTGCAAAATTTTTAAAATTATAAGAATGTAAAAATTAAGTCTATTATGCTTACAAGGGCTTTATTTGTTTGATCAAAATACAGTTATTTTTACATTTTAAAATAACAGTTTTTAATTTGACTTTATTTCCTTTAAGAATGTATTCCTGTGATGGCAAAGCTGAATTTTCAGCAGCAATTACTCCAGTCTTCAGTGCCACATCATCCTTCATAAATCTAATATGCTGATATTTGGTGCTCAAGTAAAATTTCTTATACAGCTGTGCTGCCAAATAATTTTGTGGAAACTGATATATTCTTTTTTTTTTTCAGGATTCTTTGATGAATCCATTTATTTGAAATAGAAATATTTTGTACCGTTATAAATGTCTTTACTGTCACTTTTGACCAATTTAATGTGTCCTTGCTTAAAAAAATTCTCCACATCACAAACTGTCAAACACATCTTACCAGCAAACATACACTTGCTCATGTCCTTCTCTGTGCTCTCAGAGGCAGAAAGTCTCCAAACTCATCCTTTCCAATCATCCTACTACTTGTCTGCTTGATCCTATTCCATCTCATCTCCTTCAAGCCATTTCTCCTTCAGTTGTACCTGCACTCACTCACATCAACACATCCCTTCAACACTGGGGTCTTTCCCTCAGCATTTAAACAAGGTCGGATAACCTCTTAATCATAAACAACCTTGGATCACTACTTAAAAAACCCACTCTTAACCCAGCACTTTTAGAAAACTACGAATCAATATCCCTTCTTACTTTCATTGTAAAAACACTTGAACGAGTTGGGTTCAACCAAGTCTCAGGCTTTCTCACACAGAACAACCTTCTGGACAGCAACCAGTCTGGCTTCAGAATTGGACATTCAATCGAGACTGCCCTGCTCTTGGTTGCTGAAGCCCTAAGACTGGCAAGAGCGGCTTCCAAATCTTCAATACTTATCTTGCTGGATCTGTCCAGCACGGTGCTTTTGACACAGTTAACCACCAGATCCTCCTGTCAACCCTCATGGCAAAGGGCATCTCAGGAACTGCACTCCAGTGAATCGAGTCTTACCTCTCAGATAGGTCCTTCAAGGTATCTTGGAAGGGTGAGGTGTCCAAGTTACAACATCTAGCTACTGGGGTGCCGCAGGGCTCAGTTCTTGGACCACTTCTCTATCTACATGGCATCACTAGGTTCTGTCATTCAGAAACATGGCTTTTCATATCACTGCTATGCTGATGACACTCAACTCTACCTCTCATTCCATCCTGAATTTCACAGACCACATTGCTAAAACTGCCCGGTCCTGCAGATTCGCCTTATACAACATTAGGAAGACCAAGCCCTTTCTATCAGGACATGCTACACAACTCCTTGATCAAGCTCTTTTTTTGTCCAGGCTGGATTATTGCAACGCTCTCTCGGCAGGTCTTCCAGCCACTTCTATCAAACCTCTGTAACTAATCAAGAATGCGGCAGCAAAAGTAGTTTTTAACGAGCCGAAAATAACTCGTGTCACACCTCTGTTCATCAACTTGCACTGGCTACCAATAGCTGCTCACATAAAATTCATGGCATTGATGTTTGCCTACAAAACAACCAATGGATCTGCACCATTTTACCTAAATTCACTACTTCTGACTTATGTGCCCTCCAGAAGCTTGCGTTTTGCAAGTGAACGGTGCTTTGTAGTGCCATCCCAAAGAGGCACAAAATCACTTTCACGGACTTTTACCTTAACTGTTCCCTGCTGGTGGAATGACCTGCCCAACTTGATCCGAGCAGCTGAGTCTTTAGCCATCTTCAAGAAACGTCTAAGACACATCTCTTCCATTTACATTTGACCTTTTATCACTAGAACTCTCTATTCTATTTCAATTCTATCTTATTTATAGTTCTTTAATAAAAAAAAAACTTGACCCTCTAACACTAGCGTTCTCTGTTCTTTTTCTATTCTATCTACTTGTTTTCTTTTTAATTATTATAAAAATAATAATAACTGGACCCTCTAACACTATCTCTTACTATCTACTTTTTATTATTTTTATTATAAAAATAAAAATAAA